AGGTGAGACCGGCTGGTGCGCGGGGTGGGGTTGTCAACCTGGTTCTCGCTGATCGAGTTGACCTTGGGCGGTAAAGCCACACTCAGTCTCTTATTACTGAGGCGTGAGCGGTTGCCGAAGCCATGGCCCGGAGCGCCGAGGCCGGAGGAAGAGAAAGAGTTGTTGTTGCTATTGTATGTCATTTGAGCTAGACCGCCAGCGTCCATGCTCATGTTGTTCATGTCGTAAATGCTGGAATGCGTGTAGTCGCTTGATATGTCGTTCGAGGGACTGTGATTGGGATATGCTGCTGTAGTTGCTGTGTGATAGCTAGCGAAGCTGAGCTGGTTTTAGAGGCAGGCTCGCACGTGGCGCCGCTGTCGAGCCGCGTGTCCAAAGGCCGATGATGCAAAGTCGTCGATGTGATGGTGAGGAGCAGGCACCGGGATTAAGCTGCTCTTTCACGGCAAGCAGTCGTTTGCTGTGAGGTACAGGAAGATTATGGGATTACAAAGAAATATCGTGCTTTCAAAAATGGCGAGGCTGCGTGTCGTAGTCGAGAGGCGTTCTTTGTGGAAGACTTCCAACAATGAAGGGTGTCCCGGTTTCCGCGCTTTGTCCGTGCAAAGGGCGGTAGGCAAGGTGAGGTGAAATTTCGCGTGACGAGCTTGTTGCACACGTGAGACTGCGCAATCGGACGACTGTCTTGGTCGGCGGTGCGGAGGGGTATTAAGATGCGTCTGCGTGTCTGCTGTCCGCCGGTCTCGCACAGAGTAGATGGTATGTCAATGAGTCTTGCTCCAGTGATGTCCACGCGTGCGAGTGATGGTACGACGAGGTGAGGCGGCCAGAGCGATAGGGGCGCAGTGTGTACGAATGGGAAGATGCAAGAGCGCTGGTGTGGGCTGCAGTAAAGAAGGAATGATGGACCGAGACGGACGCGAGCAGAGAATAAGGATGAAGGCGGGCGGGCGGGCGGTGTGGTGATGGTGGAGGAGGAGAAAGGGTGTGTGTGGGATGGGAGGTGAGAGAAATGAGTTGAAAGGGAGCGAGACAGGAGGCTTTGGCCACGCGATTGGACGGTCGGCATGCTGCTGCACGGTCAAGGACGCACCCGTCACGCTAGCCCAACGCCTCCCGCTGTCCTAGATGACCTATCAAACCGAGTGACAGAAGCGTCTCGGTCTTGTCGACCAGGAGATGCCCAGTTCACCAGCTACATAGTCGAACCAGGCATCTTCGTGTATGATCGCCTTCCTTCAGACGCGCTCACAGAGAAATCGGCCTCGTTACCGGTACGGAGCATGTGAGACAGTCGGGGCTGGCTCAACAATAGCGTTCATCAAGCGATCCAAGCCCCTTCCTATTCTCGCCATCCCGGGTACTGCCGAGCGCTTATGTATAACAAGAACATCGTCCAGCAACACATCATGCACCTCGCCCGGCATTCGCAACCGCAGGCGAGCGTGTACGCACTTCATGCCGGACTCAATTGGTCAAGCTCGCATGCGCCCTTCGCATCTGTATTGCCAAACGATGGAGGCAGTCGGCAGTACTTCCACTTCCTTCGTTTCATCACCCGCATATCGGCGGAACTACATGTACATGAAACACGCGCAAGAATGCGCGAAGTTGATTGTGCTCACCTCCGCGACAACGCCTTCTCTGATGGATAATAGTGGTGATGCTGATGTCGTTGCAACGCCATACCATCGGGTTGAGCCCGCCCAACACTGCTAACTTCTCGATGTCCATGAAGGAAGTACTCCAGCGTTTCCAACTACTCAGGTCAGGCTTGAATGCTGGTCACCTTGAATCCGGATGCCTCCATTCCTTTTGCCATGGCCGTTCGATTCCACATTTACGGCCTACGATTCCTTGCCGACAGCTTGCGATGCTACTGGGATCGAACATTGAGCAGCTCGACTTGGGACCCCTCGATGACCTGGGATGTCCAAGTATCCGTAATTAGCCAGGCTGGCGAGACCGACGCTTGTTCCACCGAGAAGCTTGGGAAATACTCGCCGATGGTGACATGAGATACACCGGCCGATGTTCTGTCCGCAACTCGGCGCGCAGCACCATATCGTTCTTGGCTCCTCATCTTGATCGCAACAATTGATGTACTCATTGGTTAGCAGTACTGTAGAGAGCTTGACCGGCGAGACGGACGCGTTGAAGAAGCTACGGGCATCCCAAGTGTCCGCGTATGCTACTGGTCGTGGCCGGCGTACCGCTGGTACCTTCAGGAAAGCTTCACTTCACCGAGGAGCATATGAGCAATCGTGCGAGCCATAATGAACCTTACTATAGCGGCCAGCTTCCCATGTGCAATGGGGCGAGTAGTATTCCGTAGTCATTTGCTCGCAGTCATGACCGCGACTTGAAGATGCAATGGTGTTGCCTCCCCTGAATCGCGTTGTGTGCTTGCATCTAGAATGTTTTTGCATCTGTTGGGTGAGGAGGAGGTGGTGGTCCGAGCGTCTGCAGACTCCCGTTCCCGCCCCGGTTTGTTTATTCCACGATCTCCGGGGGACTACGCTGCACACCCCACCACCACTACATGCACCATTGCTACCACACCACACCCCGTCCACCACCACCGCGACGTGACTTTGCGCTCATTGCTATCCTGGTCGGCCGGTGACGTCCATGCAGTCTACACGCGCCCGCGATTGAAGCTCTCCATTACGCGACACGCACGCGCCTTCCGAGTCCAACACGATCCTGCACGAGCAATGTCCATGGTACTTCCGCGACCACCCTTGGAACCACTCGGTATGAACGGAGGAAGCACGTCGAAGCGAAGGAGCGCGCGATTGTCGGTTGAGGGTGCGGAGGAGAATGAGCCGCCTGCGAAGAAGAGCAGGGCTAATGGCGCGCAAGCTACGAACGTGAGTACAAAGGAGCACGATGGTGGAGACGCGAACGGGTTGCCGAAGCGGAGAGCGCGGAAGGCGTACGATGAGGAGGTGGATGGGTTTGCGTTCAAGAAGGGGGTAAGGAAAGTGAAGGAGCCGAAGCAGCCGGCAGTGCGCAATTCTGTGACCGAGGAACAGCTGCCTGCGGCGGCAGCAGTACCAGCGCCTGCAAAGGTCGCATCGCCGGTGAAGCCACAAGGACCCACACCTGCTCAGAGTGAGGCTGCTGCACCGACTCCAAGCGAGGCTGCTGCGCCAAAACCCGCGCCGAAGAAGGCGCGTCGAAGATTCCCAACTACGCCCGAGCGGGAGGCAGCGGAGAAGCCTACCCGCCGGAGCAAGCGCCTCTCGAGTGAGCACGAGCCCGCCAATTCAGCACCGTCACCAATAAGACCCGCCCAAGCAAAATCACACGCGAACACCGAGCGCTCCCCCAACCCGGAGAAGGCACGGCCCATCACGATCGAGAAGAAGCGGAAGCGAGGTGCCAATGGCGCAGAAGAGGAGCAGAAGATCATGCGGATTACCTTACCCTTCCAAGACACGCCAGTCATACGGCGAAACAAGGAGATGCGGAAGGGCGGTGACGAAAGCGGACATAGGCGCAGCAGCTCTGGGATGCGAGGACGGCGGGTGAGCAGTATGATGGATGAGGGACGGGGCAATGGTACGTATCACGCATCTCCTCTGCGAGACACAGTGTCGCATGTCCAACGCATCCCGTACGAGCCATTCCGCAGTGCTGTTTTCTATGCTGACGGTCTTCGCCCGGCGCAGCTTTACCTCATACCGAAGTGCCGACCGCGGAGTTCTACAAGCACATCTCCGCCGACCTCACTGAGCCGCGACGGATGCGGTGTCTTCTCGGCTGGTGCGGGACTCGAGCTTTGCCACCGAAACCCGAAGCACCGAAGGATAGCAGTCAAGCGTCGAGTCTGGAGTTCCAAGCGTTGCAAGCCGGTAAGTCTAGGGCTATCCTCGGGTTTCGACGAGATGGAAATGCTGACAGCGACCTAGCGCGTGTTATACAAGCCGAGCTGTCAAACGATCTCGTCACCAATGGCACACTCAGCGACTGGTTCTCGCGAGACGAAGCGGCACCGCCAGCAATACCTCTCCGCAAAGCGCCGAACCCACGCAACATCGCCAACGCCGCGAAGGCCGAGGAGCTCGAGCGCGAGCTAGAGAGGTGCGTCCTTTCACTCCATACCCAACGATGCAACCAAGGCTGACCCTCTTCGCCCTCCAGACTCAAAGCCGAACGCGCAGACTGGGATGCCCTGACGCGCTCCGCCGTCCCGCCAACCAGCACTGCAGACCCAGAGGCCGACGCCAACGACCCAACTCCGCGCTCGCCCCTCCACCCAGACCTCCTCTCCACCCCCGAACGCGAAATCCTCGCACAACTCCAGAACCCTTCTTCCTCCCTGACCAACACCACCACCGCGGGAGCAACCCTCACCAACCCCGAAACCATCCAACACCGCCTCCGAACCCTAGCCACAAGCCTGGAATTCTCCCTCGACAGCTTCGCCCACGGCATCCACGTCCTGGCCAACACACGCGAGACCGCCGAGCGGCTCGCCGAGAAATCCCTGGCGGATGTCGCGGAGGTGCTGGAGGCGAGGGATAAAGCCCGCAGGAGTGAGGGCGGGGGCGCGGATGCCATGGATGCGTTGAGGGCGTTGGGGAAGGTGTTGAATGGGCGGAGGCGATAGGGGAGGCAAGCAGAAGAGCGGTAGGAAGTTGTTTCGGGCGGGTGGGATGGGAGTGAATGTACGTAGGTAGGGCTGAGAAGGGTACGAGGGATGAATGGATTGATGCGATCCAGCTCGTGCACCTTTCGTGCGTGCGATGGAGAGCGGTAGGATCAATTCATGGATGCAAAGCAAACGACCATGAACCACTCACTCATACTCCTCTCACACACTTGATGATCTCACAGCGAGCACACGTTCGTTGGACAACCAAAAGAAACAAGCAGTCCGTATGCCCTCGATTCGTGTGGCTTCCAAGCAAAACAAGCAAAACGAATAATCCGAAGATTTGCTGATTAGAGGGGGACTTTTTGACGGTTAGCCGTCATTCTCCGATCAACATTGTTGACATGTGTGTGGGATGGATGCTCACTTCGAACCCCCGCGGGCAAAGCCCATGAGAATACTAATCGACAGAGCCGATTAAGCTGGAAGCTTGAGTCACACGCCATAACCACTCGGCCATCTAACCCGAAATCGACAAGTGAATGCGCAGAAATGTACAAGACTACCGTAGTTTTTGCTTCGGGATATTCCGAGGGGTCGTTTTCGATGGTGTGCGATCGGCCGGAAGGGGAAGTTGGGGATTGATACATGTACCAGGTAAGGTATCTTCAAATTACCGAATGTGCCATGACTTCCACTAGGCGATTTGCATTTGGCTGTTGACACCGTGGCTACCACATGCACACGCACATATGACTCGAGAGACTCGCTGCGGAAGTCTCATTCAACGATGGTGGCGACAGCGACAGCGACAGCGACAGCGTGGGGTCGCCCGCAGCGCTGCAGACGATCCATTTCACCCAACGTGGCATCCTTCTTCGTCCAATTACTCATCACCATCATCACGCCGACCACATCTTCCATTTGAGATGGGGCGGGCACACGCATCTCCAGTACCTCCGCTCCAACCTCGCCACTCGCTCCAATTCTGTAGAGGGTCAAGGAGGTGTGGCACCTCGAACAGTCCAGCCTTTGGTCCGCCGATAGCGGAGATGCGCGAAGAAACGACTTCAATCATCCATTATTACGTGGAGAGCCGTGCCATTTCTCATCCCACCATTATTATTGTCCCTACCGTACCGCGCTGATTGTTCATCATCCGTCTCCCGTATCATCATCATCTTATTCTCCGGGCCGGCCTATACCGGTAGAAGGAACGACGCTGTTTGCCTGACTCTTCCTCTCTCTTTCCTCTCACTATTGACTTCTCTACTCGACTGACCTTTCCTCTCCTGCCTGACATATCCGGCTCTCGCGTGACCAACGTCGACCCACGCTACACCCACTCGAGACGACTTAAACAAACCCCAACTACACCACCAGCTCCGCCTTAACTCCGACAGACACGAACCTCACAACCCGACTTCACCACACCCAACCTCACCAACAAGACCACACGCACCCAGGAGCCACTCCCACCCAAAAACATACGGCTGGGCTTGCAGCGTTGCGTGAAGACTCCGTCTCCCACGTCGCAAGCCTGCGTCTGGCATCCACCACCATGCTCTCCATCCCCCGACTCGAAGACTACGACGTCTCCCCCACCAATGGCTTCCTCTCCGACGAGCCACCCCTCGAATTCCTCTCCGACCCCTACTACGAACCATGGGAGCACATCATAGCCAACCTCCAAGGCCTGATCCTCACCAAAAGACTCCACGAAGTCATAGACAAACTCCCCATCCTCTCCACCTCCCGCCTGCACACCGCACCCCAATGGCGCCGCGCCTACAGCGCTCTCGCCTTCCTAACCCACGCCTATATCTGGTCCTCCTCGCCCCCCACCGAATGGATCCCTCCCCCCCTCACCCTCCCCTTCCTCGCCACCTGCACCCACCTCGAACTGCCCCCCGTGGCCACTTACGCCGGCCTCGTCCTCTGGAACTGGAAACCCCTCTTCCCCACCGAACCCATCGACGCCCTCTCCAACCTCGACACCCTCGACACTTTCACCGGCTCTCTAGACGAGAAATGGTTCTTCCTCGTCTCCGCCGCCATCGAAGCCCGGGGCGCTCCCTTGATCCCTCTCCTCCTCACCGCCATCTCCGCCGCGCGCCACAACGACCGGCACGCCGTCACAGAGGCCCTCCGCACTTTCGCCGAGCGTCTGGACGAGCTGGGAGCGCTGCTGCAGCGTATGCACGACAACTGCGACCCGCACGTCTTCTACCATCGCATCCGCCCCTACCTCGCCGGAAGCAAGAACATGGCTGATGCCGGGTTGCCAAACGGAGTGGTATTCGACAACGGCGGGCCGATGAACAAGCAGCGACACGTCCAGTTCAGCGGGGGGAGTAACGCGCAGTCCAGTCTTATCCAATTCTTCGACGTCGCGCTGGGCATCACCCACCGGCCTACCGGCTCCTCCACCACACCCATCCCCGACTCCACCGCTCACGACCACCCCGGCGCGGAGCAGAAGAAACCGCGGCCCGCCCCGCCGCCGGAAAAGTCTTTCCACCTCGAAATGCGCGCCTACATGCCCGGCCCGCATTCCCGCTTCCTCGGCGCCGTCGAGCGGGTCGCGAATCTGCGGGCTTTCGCGCAGAGATATCGGGAAGAGGACCGGGAGTTGGCCGTCGCGTTCGACGCCGCGGTCGCTATGCTCGCGGCTTTTCGGGGAGGGCATATAAGGATTGTGAGTCGGTACGTGATCCTGCCTAGCCAGATGGCGAAGACACAGAAGGGTAAAGAGGAGGAGGCGAAAGCTAGGGAGAAGGCCAAGGCTAAGCAGGGGGACGGACGTGCGAGGGAGGAGGTGGCGTTGGTTGTGCGGGATAAGAGCTCGGTTGTGAGCGGGAGATTTGGGGAAGAGCGACCGCGGAAGGATCTCAGGGGCACGGGCGGCACGGCGTTGATTCCGTTTCTGAGGCAGGCGCGCGAGGAGACGGGGGAGGTGGCTGTGGATGCTTGGGCGCGGAGGCTGTTGGCGGGGGGGAAGGGGTTTGAGGGGAGTGTTGGGGAGAAGACGGAGGAGAAGCCGGGAGGGAATAGAGAGGTGCTGCAGGGTTTGGCTAGTGTATGGGGGGTTGATGGGGGTAGTGAGGGGGGCCTGTGTTTGGTTTAAGGAGGATGGTAAATGGCATGGGGCATTGCGCTCGGGGATGTCATGCTCATGGCGTAACAAGGCGCACGGAGGATCGATGATGGTATTGGGAGGGTGGAGGTCAGCAGCGATGCTATGTGCCATGGCTTTTTAAACGGAATATGAAATGAGCGGATGAACGGATGTACAGTGGAGGGGTTTTAACTCACTTTCAAGCGAGCGAGCGAGTGTTGCGAAGTGTATATACCTGTACCTCAACTGTACCGTACCTCGACTATGCCGTACTGTCCCGTCCGTCCGTCCAATTCGCCCGCACGAAGCAATCGAAAGCTCCCGTCACCCCTTTGCACGCGCCCGCTCTCGTCTTCCCGACGCCAGCAAGTCCTCAAGCCTCAACCCTCAACCCTCGAGCGCCGAGAGTTGAGAGGCTGTTGCAGAGTGAAGACAGCACACTCCCGGCAGCCGGACGCCCATTCGTCCTCTTGCCTCACCATCCGGCGCGCAGGGGCACTCTGCCCATATCCCTCTTACTTGGCGTTTTGCAGACATCGTACAACCCTCCATGGAGTCTGCGCCACCGCCCACCCGCTTGCTCCCTCTGATCGACACACACACCACCAGGCAATACACCTCCCTCGTCTTTCCGCGTCTCGTGGTCGTGGCGGTGGTCGTCTAGTATCCAGGAAGTCCATCCATACATACCGCCGGCAGCTAAAGGTATGCGCCTACGAGGTCGAGGAGGGGCTGTCGGGGACTTCGTCGTCGTCGTCGTCGTCGTCGGCGTCGTACTTCTTCGATCCGTCTCTCGCATGAAGGACTAATACGTGTGGGGTGTCGCTCGCGGTGTCTGTTCCTACGGACTCTGAGCAGGGGTGCGTGGTGTGCTGTACGCTGGGTCCAGGGCTTGGCTTTTCCGCTGGGTGGGCGGGCTGGGCGAAGGCCCGCCGGGGGGTGGGTTGGCTGCGAGTGCTTCGTCGCCAATCGGCCGGACATTGTCTGCCGTGGTAGTTGCGTCGACGTCGTTCAAGGATGTTCCAATAGCTTGCTGTGATGCAGCGGGGTACTTCATGCATCATATCCGTGTGGGCGGCCCGAATGTCGCTGCAGTCGTGAGTGTAAGTGAATCTTCGTCGTGAGGTAGGCTTATCTACCAGTATGAATGTGAGTTTCCAGTCAAACTGACGTCGAGTTCCAGTGAAGACGGTGCCGACGTTGAATGGAATGAATTGCGGACAGAAGTGGCGGGCCAGCAGTGGCGTGGTGAGTGAATAGCAAAGGCCTGTACCAGTGCGATCTTGACCAAACAAGAGTGGCCCCATCAACCAGGCCTCTCCTCCCCACCAACACTCCTTCTCTCCACCTCCCTCACCCACCTCCGCCTTCTCCACTGCCCCCTCGTCAGCTCCAATCCCCCACCCCCCTCCTCCCACCCACTCTTCGGCCCCTTCCTCCCACCCTTTCCCCCCGGACTCCCCACACCCTCCCCAGCCTCCCCCTCTAAATCATAAACCCACCCCTCGCCCCCCAACTCCACCTCCACACCCCCCACCCCCCTCCCCTCAACCCACTCCCGTCCTCCCCCCTCCAAATCCAACCCCCACTTCTTTCCCCTCCACTCCCACCCCGCCGGCGCCACCACACCCTCAAAGAACCGTGTCCCCCTCGGCCGCGTCGCTCCCGCCATCCGCAGCGGCGAGGAGGGATCGTAGGGTGTGGGGGTGAAGAGCCACGGCTCCCAGACATCGGAATAAAGGTCGTAGTGCTCGAGCTCGAAGATCTCGACTTCGTGGCGGGGAGGCGGGGCGTCGAGGAGGATGTCTTGGGCCGTGAAGGCCGTGAGGTTCCGGTGGAAGAGGGAGAGGTGCTGGCGGAGGTGCAGGGTTAGGTCTGAAGAGGGGGAGAGGAGGAGGTGTTGGATTTGGGGGTGGGCGAGGGCTGTGGCCGTCCATCCGGCGAGGAGGGCAGCGAAGCGCCAGGGGATTAGGTGGCTGGCTGTGAGGGTGAGGATGGCCAGGAGGGAGGAGAGGGTGAAGAGGGCGGAGCTGAGCGTCTCGGAGCTGAAGTTGGTGTAGGGCGTTATGTACTCGTTGGCGGCGTCGTGGAGCACGCTGAAGTCGTCCATGCTGTTCTGCAAGTCCCGCATGTTACGGAAGAAATCCTTGCTCAGCTCCGGAACGGGTTTCACCCGGCTAGGCAGCGCGATGGGGGGTCCCCAGTAGCTGGCCTCAACCCTCGGGTCGTTCGCAGGCGCCGGGTGCCGAGCGAGAAAGGAGGGGACCATGATGCTGAAGAGGAGGCCGGCGAGCGGGAGCACGGGGAGGAGATGGGGTCGCAGGCACAGGAGGGTGTAGACGGCGAGGAAGGAGAGGGTGGCGGTTGGATGGTCCCAGGTGAAGAGGTGGATGAGGCGGTTCT